TAATAAATTAATGCTGAATTTTTATTGAATTGTTAATAAATAATTTTGTGACGAACTTTTAATAAATTATTGTCAAATTGTTAATGAATTATTTGATGAATTATTAATAAATTTTTTGACAAATTGTTAATATGCTGATTTTTGTAGTTGCCGATTTATTTATGTTATTTTTTTGCTGAATTGTTTATTTTTATATGAGTGGTAGTATATTGAATAATTTTTTTTTTGACTAGTATAAGATAGTTTTTTTGCTTTTCTTGAGTCTTAAAAAAATTTTTTTTTATTATTATTTGTAATATCAAATAAGTCAATCCAATTAATTCTTCATTTAAATAAGTATCAGATTAAAATATCTCAAGAAAAATATTTAGATCTTAGCTTTTGTCTATTAAAGCTTTGACATTATTCAAGAAATTTAAGGAAAAGATAGATTTGTAATTCATATTATCTTTTTTTAATTTTTTAATATAATAAATGTTTTTCTTAAAGGACTTGAGTTTTTGAAAGATAGATATTTCTGAAATATTTTTTCTAATCACCAATAATATTATTAATATATATAAGTATGATCAATAAAATCTTGCTTATATTTTAAAAACTAATGTATTTTATATCAATAAATCATCTTTAATAAGGATTTACATTATTTAAAATTTAGAATCAAACTAAGGTAAACAAAATTTTTTAGAAAACTATAAAAATAAAAACTTTAAGAGTGCCTATATAATTAGAAAAAGAGAAAATAAGTCTTTTTATTGTAATAAAATCTCTATAATCTCTTATTTAAAAGATTAAAAAAGCATTCAGATTCTTTAAAGTTGATTTTTCTTTTTTTGAAATTTCTTGCCATTGATATTAAAGATGTTATTTGACTTTTTTTGGTTACCAGAAGTCAAGTTTTGAATAAAAAAGTTTATAAACAAAAGAAAAAGTATAAAAAAGATTTTTGAAATTATATTTCAAGTTGTTTTAATGAAAGTATTAAGACTTTATTAATAAAGAAATAAAAAAACTTCTTGCAAACATCTTTTTTATGTATAATTAGAGAATTAATAAAAAGATTTCTATATTTTTTTGCAATAGATATTGTTTTTATTATAATAATCAATTTAATTTAATATTGATACTTTAAATAAGTTATTGAAACTATATATTAAATTATTTAAAAAAGGTTTAATTTAAATTAATAAACAAAAATATGATATATATTTATATTATGTTTATATATTTATATTAAATAGTTATACAATATATAATTAAATTTAAATTATCTTTTAAGTAGCAATAGTTCTCTAATAATTTGTAAATCCTTAGGCAATATAGGAAATATTTAACCCAGTTGTTACTAAACATGATCTATAAACTAGGCAAGATGAGCCATTACCAGCCTGGCTTAATTAATTATTGATTAAAACATATTTTCAATCTTTATATTTTTAATTTTTTAATAAATAAAGAATTAATTTGCAACATTTTACTACAATTAACAAGAATTTAAACAAACACTTAATATTTATATTGAATTAAAAATTGCATTAATAACTTAGTAACACTGCAAGGCAGTACGACTACGATGTAGAAAGCACAAGCTGTGCAACTAAAATCATGCGACAAACCCCTTCACACCATCCCGAAAATTCTGAAAATAAAGAACACAAAATTTTTTAATTAAATTATATTTATTTTCAAAAGCATTCTTACCGATTACCTGCAAGCCGCGAATAACAATAATCCACTCTGTCAAATCAATTTTCTATCACGTACTTCATTCTCACGAGGGAGACGAAATCTTCGAAACAAAAAATTGATCTTTTTGACTATAAACAACTCGACGTCAAGATCAAGTTTCATACCTAAAATCACGGGTTAAAGTGTCTTTTTTTGCGGTGTTGCCTTACGCAGGGTAATCGACGGAGCAACCACTCACTTCAGCAACATCGCAGTGCTATCTTATGCAAAATCATCGACGAAGCTACCATTCACTTCGGAAACATCACAGTATTATCGACGGAGCTACCACCCACTTCGCAACATCGCGGTGTTACATCGACGGCAATAAGATTATCGACGGAGCTATTACCTACTACATCGCGGTTGTCGACGTAGCCACTATCCACGCCGGCAATAGCTACTACCCACGGTTACCTTATGCGGGATCGACGTAGCTACATCACGGTGTTACCTTACGCGAGGATATCGACAGAGCTACCACCCACTCGCAAGATACAACATCGCAGTGTTGCCTTACGCAAAGTCATCGACGTAGCTAGTCGGACCGGACAACATCGCAGTGTTGCCTTACACAAAGTCATCGACATAGCTACCACGCATTTACGCGAGGATATTGATGGAGCTACCACCCACTCGCAAGATAGCACCTTATGCGGGATCATCGACGGACCGGGCAACATCGCAGTGTTACCGCACGCAGGGTCATCGAAGGATCATCGACGACCGGACAACATCGCAGTGTTGCCTTACACAAAGTCATCGACGTAGCTAGGATCATCGACGGACCGGACAACATCGCAGTGTTGCCTTACGCAAAGTCATCGACGTAGCTACCACACATTTACGCGAGGATATTGACGGAGCTACTACCCACTCGCAAGATAGCTACTGCCCATGGTAACGCGGTGTTACCTTGTGCGGGATCATCGACGGACCCACTTCGGGCAACATCGCGGTGTTGCCTTACGCAGGGTTATCGAAGGAGCTACCACTCATTTCGGGCAACATCGCGGTGTTGCCAGCTACCCCACTTCGGACAATGTCATGGTATTGCCTTATGCGACGAAGTCGTTAACAAAGTTGCCTACTTCGGATAGCATCACGGTGTTGCCTTATGCAGGTCATCGACGGAGAAGACAGTGCCTATTACGAAACATGTTTTTCCAATAAAATAAATGCCCCTGTCGATCGTTGATAGAAAAGAAAGGTAAAGGCATAAATTAAATCGCTTATTGTGATCATAGATGTTTGAACAGAAGCTTACTTCCTTGCGAAGGCCCAACTTCAATTTCCTTTAATCGCGCAGGATCAAGAATAGTTAAGTTTTCTTACGTGCTTGTTTATCGCCTAGATCTGATTTATGTCGATCATCGGCTGTGCATATGCAGCCCTTTTTTGTCACCTTATGCTTATCCAGCATTTCAGTATCTATAATTTGCGCAGTTTTTCTCTATTAAAAAAAAAATAATTACCGCTAGTGAATGCCAACGAGAATGAGACCTTTATCAAGAAAATTTTTATGTAGAAGGCAAAAAACTAATTTGTTTTTTTGCAACTGTGTAGTAAATCATGAAAGTTTTCAGTTGAAAACTGAAAAACATAAAACATAATAAAAAAAATCACACAAGCATACCAGCTTACACTTATGGTGATCGCAAATGTAGATCTGGTTCGAGCATTTATTCAAGCAAGTATAACATTAAAGAAAATTGATAAGCTTAGCCATTTTTGACTCAATATTGTAAATATGATAACTTAAGTTATATTTATTGTATTATATTCTAATTTATTTTTATTATAAATAGAAGATACTATTGTTGAATCTTCACAACTTAAAAAAAATATTTGCTAGTTGTACATAAATAGAATTAAAAAATAAATCAATTTTTTTTTTAATCATTTTGAGATTTATTTGAGCAATTATATTATGGTTAAATTAAATCTCATGTTAGCTTACTTATCAATGGTTTTCAATTCTCAAAAGAGTTTTAATCTTTAAATATAATATTGAAAACAATATTTTGCTTTATAATAAATTTTTAATAAATATTCTTTTAATTTAAATATTATTGTTAATAAGTTGTTATTATCAATTATTTTTCAAGAAATTGATTTCAAAAACTGCAAAAAAAAAAAATAAATAAAAAAAAAAAAAAGATTTTTTAAAAAAGAAATATATATATATACTGTATATATAGTATAAAAGTTTTATATTATTCAAAGAATTTTGAAAAAAAAACTTTTTCCACTGATCCTCTTTTTTTAAAAAATTTTTCTTTTTTGGTAATTTTCTTGAAAAAGCAAACTAGTCTAAGTATAAAGCATTAGACCAAGCTTTTAAATACTTATAAAATACTAAACTACATATATCAAATCATCCGGAAGTACCAAAAATAGAGGTATATACTATTTCACTTTCTTTTTACTTCTTTTTCTTAAATTTTTTAGAAGAAAGAAAAGAAAACTGAAAACTGATTCACAGTCAGAAAAAGAAAGCCAATATCAATTTCACATAGCTTATAGTCAAGTCAGTATAGATTAACATCTTTCTTGACACTATAAGGAACCCAAAAAGCAACTAAGCCCACTCGATAAATCAAGTTGCTCCAATCACATTAAGGTTCAGAAAGATATCAAAGCTTCCTAAAGACAAGACAGTCTTAACATATATACCTATCAAAATAACATACCTATCCTTAATTTTGTCACGCAAATATGAATATGTAAAAGCAAGACAGAAAATAAGCACGTACATATATATTTTGTTATTCAAACAAATTGATCGACTTTTTACACAAATATGGCAACAACTCTCAAATTAGGATAGAATTATCAATGTAAATAAATAAACAACCAAAACAATACAACAAGATTTTTTGTATTACCTAAATAGATACATATAAATAATAATAACACAAAAAGTTTATCCATAGTCTAAATTTAGAATATTAATAAATATAAACAAGAAAAATATGTAAAATATTTAATAATTGTTATATGACAAAATAGAATATATATTTAATACCAACAATATTGATACTATAGGTATGGATAAAACTGAAGCAATCTTACAAATAGTATAAAATAGTGAAGACAAGATATTAAATATCTTAATTAATATAGCTAGACAACATGATAAAAAAGGTAAAATGTGGACAATACAGCAGCTGCTTCAACAGAAAAAAGAAACAAGTACCAACTATAGACACACACCCTCACCAAAAATAGTCACAGTTATAGATAGTATAATTGTTAAAATATTAGAAGTAGATAAAGCAACCTTTTATAACGAACACATCCTAATACAATATATAACATATCTTTGACAACAAGGTAATGGAAGAGAAGAAGATCTACAATAACAATTTCTAGAAGACAAATATTTAAATATAGTTAAAGAAAACAATAACAAGGGAAAACAAAATCAAAAAAAATTCTTTCCACTAATCCACTATTTTCCTAAAAATTTCTTTTTTTGGTAATTGTTTAAAGAAAAAGGATAATACAACCCAAGCTTAGCAAATATAGTAAAGAGAAACACAACTACATCATCCCACTTGAAACAACACATAAAGTTCTATAAACAAGTTGTCAGAAGAAGAGTATATAATAATAATATTAGTATTTTATTTATCAACTTTTGAGGGAAAGAGAAAACAAAAGTAAATCTGAATTACAGTAAGGTCAAGGGACTCAACATCAACTCTTCTAGCTTTCAACTAGGCTAGTGCAGATTTATACCTTTCTAGATATTAAAAAGAACCTGGCAATATAGTAATTTTAACCGGTAAACCAGTCAAAACTCAAAATTTGCAAGATCCAAGAGGATGTCATGAACTCAAGAGTAATAGTTAGAGATTATCATTAACAACACATCAACAATACATAAACAACTAGCACATAATGCAAACATGAACACATCCCTTTAAACAATAGAAACATAACAATAGATTACGTGACATGTCTTTAAACAGATAAATAAGCTCAACACATGTTCTAGCTAATCACAAGATATATTTCTTACATCTAGTTTATCCCTTAATAGATTTAGCACACGTGTTATTGAAATCAACAAATAAATAGATAAACAATCTGCAACTCATGTTTACCCCACAATTGATCTACTAGCACAACATATAGATTAGGGAACCCCAGTAATACTATATGAATAAGTAAACAAATAAATAGAGTTAATCTACGAAGTGTGACTTATTCAATAATTACATAACATAACCAACATAGATAGGGCACAATGTATTCTTCATATAGTAAATAAAAGGAAGGAGGATATCTTGAATACTTTAATTAAGCTTTCAAGAAAGCATAATAAAACCTCAGAACTATGGACACCACAATAGTTGATAAGGCAAAAAGAAGAAGATCCAAAAAAAGAAACAACTCCCACATCAGAGACTTTTACCATCCTAAATAGTATTAGTGCTAATATTCTAGGAATAGACAAAGCAACATTCCATAAGGAATGGATTCTTACTCAACACATCCTATATCTCTAACAACAAGGAAAGAGAAAAGAAGAAGATCTACTACAACTCTATATAGAGACAGATTCATAGAAATTATCAAGAATGCAAGTAATCCACAGGAGTCAAAAAGTTAACTGATGAAGATTACAGAATATATAAATATTAAGTCAATAATAGATAATAAAATCATAAAGATCAGTATTTATGAACAAGAAGAGGCTGAAATACAAAGGCTTCAAGAGAAAATAAAAAGTAACAACATCAGTGATTATAGCTCATATGACATGAGAAACAGAGACTTTGCCCATTAACAAATTCATACTTTATAGTATGAGAAGGAATATATAGACTCAGTACTATGATGGTCAATATTCCAGGAGAAATAGAAGAAGAAGTCAAGATCTACCTAAGTAATATCCTAAAACTATCACAGAAAGAAAGATATCTCTTAAAGAAAGAATTTATCAATGGAAATAAATGGTTGATCTTTTGGATACAAGAAGAATAGAATATCCTAAAATATATAGAAGAGATAAACTATAAAGAGGATAATTTTACTATCCAACAAATAACTCCTTATACTTCATGTTCTATTCACATAACCAAAAGAGAGAAAAACAAAAAAATCTTTTAAGAATTCAAAGGGAAAAATAGATTTGATATATAACATGTTGGCTTAATAGATTTAAATTAAAAGGTTTCCAGAAGTTATATAGTCAAATATCTCAAGAGATATGGAACAGTTCAAAATATCTATATCTATAAGGTCAAAATAAAGATTAGGGTCAAGGCCTATTTCAAGCTTTATAAATATATTAAATAAGATCTCGTAGAAGTATGGACAACACCTATAGATACTGAAATGTTTAGAGCCATCTTCACTAAATCAGAGTTGACTGATGAAGAGATAAATACCACCCTAATCAAGAAAAATATCAACTTAGCTAGACTATTGGATACAAACAGAACATATACCAACTTGATAGCAAAAGCTTTACATGGTACTCAGGCAAAAGCATGCTACATTAGGAAATTTTTTTAGCAAAGATCTCCAGAGATTTTTGGGTGTAAAACTCTAGAGACACTATGTCATTGTTAGAGATCTCCAGAGTGAAGATTTTTTTTTTTTTTTTTAATCCGCAATCATGCCACGATGGCTTGTCTTTATTGAAAAATTGAAGTAAATCTACAATATTTTACAGACTTTCACATCGTGACTAACTTGTCTTCATACAAAAGTACTCTAAATCAGATTTTGGGGACAATATTATACTCCTCCAATAGATTTGTAATAGCCTCTATCTACCAGGATCATTGCCAACAGTTTGTCACTGTTGATTGCCCGAAAACCAATGAATTGCTAAGTTAAAAA